TTTTATAGTATTTTTTTAGTTTAAATTTTTTTTTATTTTTTTTTAGTAAATTTTTTTTTTTAGTATTTTTATAGAATCGAACGTAATCATAAGTAAAAATAGCAAATGATGATACCCTCTTTTTCTATGCTTTCAAGAAAAGCAGCTTTCATTGATTCATCTGACTGTGGATGATAAAGACCGAGAAGAGTTGCATCTGCTTCCAACAATGTTAACTCTTTTGTAGAACCCAAAAACAGCTCAGAAAGTTCAGGATCATGCAGACGAAGAAGAACTTTAGCTCCTATTTTATAACTTCTGAAACACATAATTTTAGACTACTGGTTAAATTGAGCCATTCTCTGTTAGGAGAAGAGAAATCAGTGTCAAATAACACCCGATGTAATGTGTGGCGGAATAAAAAGTAAAGTAGGGAATGACAAGGAGTATGTCCTCACCAAAAGTTTGCAAAGTTTGCATTATCATTTAATGAAATAGTAGTATTGAAATTGGTTCTTTCAAATCACTCAATGAAATTATCACAAAAATTTCAGCTGTCGCATCCTTGAAAGAAAACGTGTGGTAATGGGCAGCAACCAGTTTGGAGTTTCATGCATATAGGTCAACTGTGCATCGAATCTATTTTCAGTCGTTATTAATAAAAGACTGAGAGAAACCAGATCCAGTTTAAACTTCGTGGAAAGGAGAAGTGCAACATTACAGGGAATGCAGTCAGTTCAAAATTAGTGGCAAAAATGGCAATTTTATTAATCAGGAAACAGAAGCATAGATACCAAGTAACTAACTCATTTTTCATCACCGGTGCTTTACATACAGCATCAAATTTTAGTCCCATATCGATATACAAATCATCCCCGATTCGGCGTATAATTTCACCTATAACTATTCGTCCTTCAAAATCACCAAGCTGTACAAATTTTGAGTGTTGGAATAATTCTGCGAAACGTTTGCGATCCTAAAATAAAGAGTCATAGAAAGCGAAATCAAATTTTACATTCGTAAGCAGCAGAATCGATTTAAAACTGAATTTTTCCTTAGTACTAAACAGCATTACTTGAAACGCTGAAAATGCTGAAAAAGGAAAAAGCTTGCTTTTTGGGACCAACTAACTTCCTTACCATAATTTTCCAGGAACAAGAATTTATTTGAGTTGTTAAAAACATTTTTCCTCTAAAAAAGTAGTTAATCAATGCTACATATAGATAAAGCATTACTTTACAGTATTTTAAGAGTTTGAAAATTTCGAGATTTGACAAATCTGAAGCAGTTCCTTTTGCGCAAGACAATGAAAAATAAAAGGAGGATAAAGGAGAAGGAAAGATAGTATTGAACATTAATATTCCTTATTCAGTTAACCCAAACCATGACATATTTTACCAGGTCATACGCCATCATCTCCTCTTAGGCCTGCATGAATTCTCAAGAATGTCTTCATCTCATTTGATTTCAATTTTTTAAAACAAATTGGGACTCTGTGCAAGCAGTATTATAGCACTGTATACTAACATTAAACCTTACGTTCCCTTCGAGAAATGGATTGAAGAACAGCCTCAGCTGTACAATGAGTACTTTTCTAACAGAAGGAAAAAACCCTACAAACAAGTTGTCTACATCAAGCTTCTCTAGCCATTTTTCTGAAACATATTCCCGGAAGCTTTGAAAAACGGCCAGAAGCATGAAAAAACCCCTAAAAGCGCAGGGAATTAATTCCCGGACACTGTATGTAAACAAGAAATATCATTAAACATAATTTTTACGAATTTATGCGTGGTGGCTTACTGTACACGGACTGCACGTGTCAAAATATGGCAATTTATTTTTAGAAAATATGAACGAAAATATCTATCAAAAAGATCAAAGCATTTCCAAATACTGTAAATCAAAAACATTTAAACCAGTAAAAATACCGGAAGAGCAAACAAACAGTTTCAGTATTTGAAATATGAATTACTAATTTTCAAAAGTAAACAGACCTGTTTGATTTCATTTTCATCCATCACCCTTCTCAAGCATTGATGTTGTTCATTGGAAGAAATCGATGATGATGTGGAAGGTACTGCTTGACTAGTTGAGCTACTACTGTCGCTTCTCCAACATCGGACCCGTTTCAAAGAATGTAATAGTTGTATTAAACGAATCTGCGACGCAAACATTTACCTTCTCTGTATGATAAATATGGGAAAGTGTCACAAATCATTAGTATCTATTAGACAACAAAAACAACCCACCCGCCAGTATTCATCGAAAATCATTGCTCAACAACAAAAACCCTTTTATTATAATGACCAAAGATTATTAACACTTTTCAACCACAGAATCCTAACTTCCAGTAATGACTAAGGGTCATCAACACCCATTCACCAACAAAACCTTCAAAGAACGAACAAAGGTCCCAATATCTGCTTACAAATGAATCTTAACCTCTAGCTTGACCTTACATCCCACACTTCGAAAAATAAATAACAGGTGACTGAAATTTTAACGCATCCTATTCCAGGCTTAGTATGACAATGCGTTAAATTTCAACTTACTAAATTTTCTACAGTGGTTCATCATTTTTATTTTTAGTTGTGTTTTATGCAGTTCATTAAATGTTCACAATATTTTATTGAAGTTTCACACGATTTAGTGGGATACGGTATAATGGATAAATATCCAAAGGTACACGTATTGTTGGATGGTTACTGTATACAGGCAAAAGAAAACGATTGTTCAGAAGCATCCGGTACTGTAACGTTGATTTTAACTGAAGGGAAGAAAATCCTGGTGGATTGTGGTGATCCGTGGAATGGTGCATGTGTTATCCAAGGTTTATTGATTTATCACTTTTTGTTTTTTATTTCTTGAATATTATATTTGGATTGTATGATATGGAAACTTTTGCTGGAATTGAAAAACACCAGAACTGAAAGACATGAAATTGAAAAAAGGCTTTTGAATATATTGATATTAATGATTATGAAAAATATCCTGTAGCTGGTTTTACCACGTTATGTGCATCAATACGATTTTAAACTTACTGGGAATACAGTATCGTTATTTTCCACTCAATTTCTCACATATTTACCATTTGAAGCAATGTTGAATACTCAGTCTTGGTTGGTCACCATATTTTAATCAGTGGATCTCATTAATTATGGGCAGTTTTGAAGATGTTACATTTTTGGTACGATTTCTGAATATATGAATAAATAATCATTTGTAACTTCTGGAACGAATTTTTGCAGCACTTTCAAAATATTCATTAAATTGTGATGACATCACCGATCTGATAATAACTCATGGACATAGTGACCACTGCGGTAATTTATCACTTTTCAAACAAGCCAAGATTTATATGGGTGATGATGTGGCCAAAGGTGGTATTTATGAAATTTATACGGTACAGTTAATTGTTCTACTTTTTTACTCTACCATATTTTGTTTTTTTCTGGCATACTTCTTCATAAACGATGATATACTGCCGTACAATGAGATAACAACAAATAATGTCTCCTTGTCATACCTCCCTTTTTCTTTTTGTCAAATTTTTCTTATATTAGTCGTTCTATTACTTTACAGATGATTTCATTTCAAAAAATTGCTTTAAAATCCTAAAGAATGGTATGACTGACAGAATGGAGGATACTGATTATCATAACTTAATATGGATTGCTGTATTATATCATATAGCTAAATACTGTGCGATTTTTTTTTTCAGGGTATTTGGAGATTAGATAATTCTGTGCAGGTAAAACCGACTCCTGGCCATACTGACCATGATCGTAGTATCATCGTGACAGGCACCGAATATGGAACAGTCGCTATTGTAGGTCTGTTCTTATGGTGATAGAAGGAGAAAGATTTATTAAAGAAAAGAAAGCTATTATTTTTCGAAGAGCTTGACACTTTTAGGTGATATTTTTGAAGAGGAAAATGATGATGACAGCTGGAAAGCAAACAGCAAATATCCGGAAGAGCAAAAGAAAAGTCGTGAAATAATATTAAGTGAAGCAGATTGGATTGTTCCTGGACATGGTAGAATGTTTAAAAATAAATTAAAAAACATATAATGTGCTTTTTTCATATGATCATATTTTTCTAACATCATAGAGAGTCTAATTTGAATATTTAACCGGAAACTAATTGCTTGAGGTAATTGGCAAACTAATCTGCTGATTATCTACATATATATACATATGACGATATAGTGTAAGAAATATTTGAGCAGGTTAGTAAGCAATAAAGGAAGGATAACATTTCACTTGAAATTCGATACTTCTTAAGTTTTAGTCTCTTTGCAAAAAAGTAACACTGTTTGCGCGATTACCATTGATATTAGGTTGATCTATTGCTGTTTGGTTACTTTACTCATTTTCATCTTATTTACCATTATTTTATTATTATATCCATCAGCACTTTATTATTAATTGCAACTACCTCACTGTTCTTCGTTTTATGACTACTATCACTGATATAATCAATATGTAACTCTCGCATTACTTGTCATTGTATAACTCTCGCATTACTTGTCA